ACACACATATATTTATCTGCTTAGCTCACAGGACAGAGTCCAAGTAGTCCAACAATGGCTGCACCACACTGGAGAGACTGAGAATCCGTAGTCACTCAGTCCACAAGGCTGGATGGCTCAGTAGTCCCAATCTGGCACTGAAGGTGTGACAAATTTCATAAGATCAGCTATTCTTCAGTCTACAGCAGCAAGATGAACGCACCAGCGAGAGGGAAGGCAAGCAGCAAGAAGCCTGGTGTTCTCCTCTGCTCTGGTCTTTTACTTGCTGCCATCAGAAGGTAACACCCACATTTAGGGTGTGTCTTCTGGCTTTAGATGATCCAATCAAGAAGTTCTCTTTCATTTCAGTTAATCTCAGATCAAATCAAGTTGACAACCAGGATTAGCCATCACAGGTTGCTATCATGAGAATTAATCACAAAGACTAATATGATGTTTATTAAGATGAGTAGGTACACTAAAAATGTTCCTATGAGAAGATAAGAAAGGTGCTTTGTAGGCTGTGGGTATAGCTGAGTGGGCTAAAAGTGCTGGCTTCACAGTCCCAACAACCAAGTTCAGATCCCCAGAACCTGTGTAATATCCCGAGGAGGTGACAAAAGTAACTGTAATCTCAGTTGCTTATGGGAAATGGAAGGAGGAACAGGAGAATATTCAGACTCCTGTGTTCTAGATAGCCTGGAAGAGGCAAGAGCAAAAATAGGGAATCAAAATATGAAAACAAAAAATCAGAGGAAAGGCAGAGTCCAATATCCAAAGGATGTCCTTTGACTTCCACATGGGTACAGTGGCTCCAGCACCCGCAGCCACACACATGAATATGTACACACACACACACACACACACACACACACACATACACACTCACACTGAAAAATGCCTTTCCACTTATATTCCATGGCAATGAACAAGATATTATTCAGCAGAAAATTAAGTAGAGAATAACAATGATGAATTAGAAACTACATTTGAAATGCTTTTTGTTTCTGTATTTTAAAATCATAGACCAAAAAATAAAAGAATATGCCACAGAATAATACTTCAAAAAGTGTGATAAGTTATTTCACTGGTATATTATTAATGATAGAATGAAAACTATAAATGTTAAATTATATG